ATAGTTTAGCATCTACATCTTTTTTTTTTTTAACCAATTTGTGTCCGTTGCTCAGAAACTGCCTGGCCGAGCCCCTGCAGTTTTCTGGGCAGGGTTTTTCAGAAGTGGTTTGCCCTTGCCTCCTTCCTGGGGCTGAGAGAGAGGGACTGGCCCAAGGTCACCCAGCTAGCTTTGTGCCTAGGCAGGACTAGAACTCACGGTCTCCTGGTTTCTAGCCTGATGCCTTAACCACTACACCGAACTGGCTGTCATCTAGTCCCATAATTTTTCCTCCACTAATTATCTGTTTTCAGGTTCCAGGAATGTAATTCTCAATCATTCTTCAGCTCCCTTTTTGCCTTCTGGGGCCTATATAGCATTCATTCAAACTTCCTGGTAGGAGCCGTCTTATGAATTTGTTATATGTTCCAGTGTTGATCATTTTTACAATATGTTGAGTTCTAATCTATTCTTTTACTGACGGGATTTCAGCATTTTATAACCGTTGACTAATTAGTCCTTCTCAACACTCCAATGCAAAAACAGCAGTAAGTAAAATTATCCTTAGGGCAATAGCACTGGAGTTAATTTGACAAAGAACATTTTTCGTACTGCTGAGAGAAAGCCCAAGAGGTCTTATTCTCTCCAGACCATTTTTGCTGGGATTGTGAGTATTCTTGTAAGTATTCTCTTGCAAGACTCAGATGTGTATTACTTACAACTTAAAGGTATGATTTGGGTGATGGGAGGAGGGCAAGAGCAACTGATTGATAATAATGACATTGGAATTTGCACAGCTTATCTTGCTCGCCTTTTGAGAATCGTTTCTTTTCCTCCCAGTGACTGCGGTATTGGAAAATGAAAGTATCCAGGGCCTGTCAGGTGTGAAGCCCATGGGCTACCGGAAGCGGACCTCCAGCAGAGGGGACAGCGACAACATCTACAGTTTGGAAGCAATCATCCGCCAACTGAACACATTTCTGAGCATCATGTATGACCAGGGCCTTGACCCAGAGATCATCCAACAGGCCATTAAGCAGCTCTTCTACATGATCAATGCTGTGGCCTTGAACAACCTCCTGCTGAGGAAGGACGTATGTTCTTGGAGTACAGGCATGCAGATCAGGTAGGGTTCAGGCTGAAGGGCACACTGCTGAACCATCCAAGGCTGAGCGTGTTTTGCTGGAGGGAGCAGGAGCACTGCTTCCTATAGATGGATGAAAGTGATGCTGGAGACTCACGGGACAGTGATACTCCCTCTGCCACACCTGCCACACCTGCCTGGGCTTCAGAACCTGTGGCTATTCAGGCATCGCAAGCTAAAGGACTGTGTCCAAAAACAAGGGGGAGCAAAGGATCACTAGCCCAATCTGGTGTAAATCTGGTACCCCTTCATTGGAACTGCTCTACCCAGGGATGTTAATTGCTTAACAATTCAACATTTGAAGTGGAAGCAGGCTGTAATATGATCTATTATGGAAAAATGGCCTCTGAGGTTTGCTCTGTAATGATTTATTTATACTTGCAACACATCCCTTGGTGTTGCATTCATATGTTGATGGAAATATGGGGAGCTGCTCTCTATCCAAGTATTTTTCCATCTTGTTAATTCTGACCAGAAGCTGCTCTCAGGTAGCTTGGTGAGACATCCTTTGCCGTTGTCTTGCACCTTAGTCTTCTTTAAACTGACCCAGGGCACAGGATGTTGTAGCTGATCCTTAAATAGAGATGCCAGAGACAACTTCATGCAAAATCAGTGCCATAAGCCGAGCCACAGCCTCTCTTGAATTATCATGCATCAGAAAGGTGAAGATTCCCCAAAACATACCTTGTGAATGCAGGGCTGGACAAACATTTTAACCCAGATCCTAACCCAGCTATTTGGCTGTGAAACAGCCTGGCTAAGTTTAAAAAAAAAAAAAAAAAAAACTCTTGCAGAAGAATCTGTTGGGGACACAAGCCGCTCAGCAGGATTCAGAACATCCTGCCAGTTCTTCTTGTAACTTGTGTCTCCCTTGTGTTGGGTCCAGGTTTAATATCAGCCAACTGGAGGAATGGTTGAGAGGGAAGAACCTGCACCAGAGTGGGGCTGCCAAGGCCCTGGAGCCATTGATCCAGGCAGCACAACTCCTGCAGTTGAAAAAGAAAACCCCTGAAGATGCTGAGGCCATCTGTTCCTTATGCACATCCCTCACTACCCAGCAGGTACATGTGTTGATTTATTTATGAACTCAGAGCAACTAACGAAAGGCTGAACATGAGAATAAGGTCCTCCTCTTTACCCCTTTTATCTTCAAATCCTGTTAATTCAGTGTAGAAGTTCACCAGAGAGTTTCAGGCCAGAATGGGGATTTGAACTTAAGCGTCCCTACTTTGGGCCAAATCGCCATGGCATAGCGCTGATATCTTGCAGATAATTCCCCAACACATTTTACCTTGGTCAAGTCCAGAGTCTGGCTGGTGAAGGTTATATTCAGTGGCCAGGGGAGGTATTTGAAAAAGTCAGTGGATAAATGGGGCACACGTTCAGCACCCTCCAGTTTTCTTGAGGGTCCGCCTGCAGTTGGAGAGCCCATGTTATACTTTTAAGCTGAAATTCCACCTGTTTCCTACACTTGTTCTGTTGAGAACCTGTGATGTCTATTTATAAAATAGTGATGTCACAGAGTGATGTTACAGAGCATCTCCTCTATAACCCTCATTTGATCTTTCATTCCTTAGATTGTAAAAATACTAAATCTTTACACTCCTGTGAACGAGTTTGAAGAGCGAGTGACAGTAGCTTTCATAAGAAACATTCAGGTAAGTTCTGCACTAAATATAGGAAAGTTTACATCTGCCACACATTCAAAAAAGTCATATATCTAGTTTTTATAATGCACTTTTGGAGGCCCATTTGTAACTCTGGAACACAGCAAGTAAACTGAAAGCATTTAGATCACATATCTATACTGGCATGCCTTGAATTCCCTCTGCACAGAAACGCAGGAAAATAAACCAAAATAACAACCTTTTATCTCGGTCTAAAAACAAACAGAAGACATGATGAAAATTCCTGAACACACTGACAAATTCAATCACACTTTCACCTGAGAAACTGTTGACATTTTAGACCAAGCCAAATTTCAAAATGCTAGGGAATTCCTGGAAGCTTGGCATTCAGGTAAATCAGCCATCAACAGACGCAGAGATAAACCCCATCTACAGGCCATTTAAAAGATATAACCCAAAGTCAAGGAAGGAAGCAAACAGCCCAGAGCACAATCCCTCTTAGCAGTCAACACCCAGATCAGCAGGAAGCGGTCCTAGAGAAACAGTCCCAGAAGAAACAGTATCCTAACCAAGGAAACATCAAGACATCATAGCCCAACCAAGACTGGCCAGGTAAGCTAGTATATATGAACCATCAGCAAACCTCACTGTCCCATGCATGGATGATGTTACCTAGCCTGGTGGCAAAACATCTGCAGGAACCCAACAGTTCAGCCCTTAGCTGCATAATATTCTCTACTGTTGAAAAGCAAACCGTTGTCCTCTTGCTAGCCTCTTATCTGTGTGTCCCCTCGTAAGTAGGAATACATAAAGCGGTCTTTAAGTCAGATAGTTGGTCCTGGGAGCCGAGTATTTTCTATTTCAAGTGGCAACAATGGCCTGCTTTGAGGCGACTTTTCTCCTGCTTTGCTATCTGACACTCATTTTAATTAGAGGTCCTAAGAAACGGGCTTGTAATCTTGTGCACGAGGCCTGCGTCTGAGCTATGGCTTCACCTGTTCCCATTCTACATGCCTAATAAAATGTAGTGAGACAGGACTGGATGCTGCAGGGAGAATTCCATTAATCTGTCCAGCCTGACAAAAGATAAACTCATGAAGGATAAGTAAAGATTGCCAGATTTGTAGGGCATGGGATAAATCTCCCCTTGGTGTGCACCACACAGTCATTGAGAGTTAGGCAGCTACAGGTTTAATGTATTATTGTTGGTTGCACAGTCAGCCAGATGTTTAAACTGGATTTGGCATTTTTATCCACCTACCGGGTCCTTCCCAAGGACCTGGGATAGGCAGATGTTGCTGTTTGATGGTGTTAAAGATTGTTGGTTGCACAGTCAGCCAGATGTTTAAACTGGATTTGGCATTTTTATCCACCTACCGGGTCCTTCCCAAGGACCTGGGATAGGCAGATGTTGCTGTTTGATGGTGTTAAAGGTATCGTTGCAGGATGTGAGCAGTTCCAAGTAAAGCTGCTTTTTACAGTTGACTGATGGTGATTTTGTCAATGCCAATGTGTTCAAGTGGTGCTCCAGATGTTTTCGGATTGCACCCAAGGTGTATTATTATTATTATTTGGTTCATTTGTCCCAGAGTTACGTTCGTAGAGCCAAATAAGTAAACCAGAGGGGGTAAGAATGGCTGAAATATGAAACAATGGATCAGAGTGAATTGGTTGGGCATTTGACCTACCTCAAAAGATCTGGTCAATGGAACAGTCAAATATTGTCTGATTACTAAGGTTTTAATCTGCCATCCTCCTCTACTGCAGTCATTCTACAGGACAGGGAATCCTATGAAGGATAAGCTATGATCTGGGGGGAAAGCCCCCCATTAACTGGGTAAAGACATCTACACCTGTACCAAAGAAGGCTTCCCATCCCACAGGACACAAGCTGGACAGGATGCCCTGGGGAAAATGGGGCAGGAAAGCCTGCTTTCTCTTATCCCACCACATCAGGGATCCAATCAAATATGACTTTAAAAAAAAATAATGAATTACAGACTTCATAATCAAGTTACCTAGGTTTTTACAACTACGTGATTTCAACAACTATAGCCCCTTCACTAGAAGTGATGCTGGCTTTTTTCTAGAACATCATGGTCCCCCTACAGTTACAGTAACTGTAGTCTGACCTGGTACTCCAGGGTAAAAGGCTGAGAAGTGCCTGCTGCATTGTTCACCTTCACCATACCCAAGGTTAAACTAAAAACAGAAGCAAAGCCTAACAGCTGCTGCTGTTTAAAAACTGCCAAGTTATTTGCTCCAATTTACACAGTACACCAGGTGGAGCTGTGGCCAGTCCTAGCTGTGATCTCTGCTTCTCTTCCTGTTCTTGTTGGAAGATGCCTATAGCTAGATAGCAGTAGGAGGAAACAACTGCTAGTTTTCAGACAAACAGGCCATCCTCATTTCTGACCAAGTGATCAAATGGGACCATAATGAACTAAGTAAGGTTAGTTGCCACCTACAAGGCTTGGTTTCAGATGAATCAGCTGATGGTGTCTCACTACTCAGATGACTGTTTTGCCTTCCTAAGGGACAAACAGATGAGTTTTAGGCTTATCTCTAAAACTCTACAGAAACTCAAGACTCAGCTGTAAGGGCAAAGTTTTAGCATAAAACAGCCACATATCTTACTTCTTTGCTAATGATTTTCTTCCCATCTCTCTTGTGGTTTCTTTTAGGCACAATTGCAAGAGAGGAACGATCCTCCACAGCTGCTGTTAGACTTCAAATTCATGTTTCCTGTTTTGTTTCCATTCAATCCTTCGTCTCTGACCATGGACTCTATTCACATCCCAGCTTCCCTTGACCTGGAATTTCTTAACCGAGTGTGAAGACACAATTTTCAGCCCAATTTTCCCAAAGTTTGAGCAAAAACAGAAGCAAAAATATAGGATCTCTTCAAATATGGATCAGTAATGGTGAAAGAACCAGTACATGCCAATTAATCAGTGCTAAATTGTACAGCATAAGAAACTAATATTGCATTTGGGTTAAATGCTTTTTGGTTTGTGTGAGGGATTCTTTTGGGAGGGAAGGGAGTAGATCTTGCAGTTAATATTTGAAACACAAGAAGGGGTTGTACTGTTTGATATCATGCTATAAAATATTTCCTTCTGCTTGCCATTAAGGCAGATGCATTGGTAAGTAGGATTTAGGTTTTAATTTTGTGAATTATGTTTCTCAAGAACTTTTGTGTTGAAATAACAAAAAGAAGCCCAGATTGCCACCTGTTTTCCAATTGTCCATGGTGGTAGAGCTTGCACAAACTGGAAGCAGTCTTCAGCTCCTCAGTTTTCGGAAAATAAAATTGCCGTAGGTTAAAATAAAAAATTGTGACACAGCTTGAAGAGATGTTCCTGGAGGTGGGGAGAGCATTATTTGCAACTTGCACTGAGGTTGGAGAATACCACTTTGCATATGAAGTAGACTAGTCATTGAAAGCTTCAGTCTGTCTCAGGGGTGTCTGCAAGGTATGGTAAAAAAAATAAATAAATATGGTGGCACATACCTAAGAAAACATCAATCACACCATTGTGGCTGCCATCTTGACTTACTTTTACCATACTCTCTGAACACCCCCGGTCCATCTTTAACCTGTTGATTAAGGTGCCTGTTGATAATTTTTTCCATATGAATCACTAAGAATGTGAAGTTGTGGAACCACAAACCCAAACATTTGCTTAATGCTGCAATTATAATTTCACTACACGCTGCTACTGATTCATTTGGGCCAGTAACTGATATGGCACTGTTTGGATTTACTGGGGGAGAAAAAGGTATGCTGGGTCCATTGGCTCTCGGACAACAGGCCCATTCTTTGCCAAGATAGTTGAAGAGTCCTTATGATCACACTTGGGACTATGCCAGGACACAGGATGGATGTGCTGGCTGAGTTATGTGTCATTATGCAGTGTTCCCCCAGCATTGATGGAGCCATGCGCAAGGAATACCTCTGCAGGGAACTGGAGTGTCAGGATGTGTTTCTAAGCCAGTTACAAGGATGTTTTGCACCATGAAACAGTCCATAAATTTGATGATAATATCT